TTTAAACTATTCGATAATTTTGATGAATTTTTATTTAATGAGTATTATAGTTATTAGTTAGTGGGCCAAGTCCATAATTCAATTAATACCCAAGTAATTTGGCCCATGTAAATAGATGAATTAAGAATAATTGAGGGTTAATAATTCTTTGTCACCCCCACAACCCACTAAAACTTCTATCTGCACACGACGAGGAGAATCATCGCATAACCACAACCATCACAAAATCTGCCAGGTAAAAGAAAAATAATGGCTTAACGGGTTAGAAATATGTTGTAAGTTATTGCTGCCAACGAATCAGTGCTAGCAAGATTTCGGCCGGAATTTGTCATTAATGGATATAGAATTGTGTTGATAAGATTTCAGCTGGAACATAAATAATAAATAAAGTTAAGGAAAACAAATTTTGGAAACTTGACACTATACCGTAGGATGGTTTCTTTGATAGGATAAATTAATTGTTAATTAGGAGAGTATAATCATTACGAAAATGATTGACTCATGATTTTAAGTGGTAATTCATTTAAAAAGGAACTCAAGTATAGTAATTATGAAGGCTTGGAGCTTTTGTTAAATTTTTGTTAGTTTCTGTTGCTACTCTTGTCACTATTAATTATTAAGCATAATGGATATATATGAAAACTATTAGAGTATGTTATTTAGTGGAATTAAGATGTAACTCTAGGCTTAAAATTTAGGAATATGAGACTTGACATAATAGATGGCACCAAAATTTAGGAATTTCATTATATATCATGGGTGTTAATTTGGTGTCATTAGTTTATATATCATTTTGAGTTAATGATAGGTGAGTGGATGTAAGGTGCTGCGTAGTGGATAGTACAAATGTTGTTTGTTGCTTTGGTTCAGGATTACTGTATCACTTAGTTAAATTCGTAGCATATTTTATGTCTTGAAATATTCTGGTGGTGTTCACAATTGTTTACCAATAGTGGCTAATTGGTCCAAGAGTGACCATCATGGTTAAGTTGATAATATATTTAAAAAGTGCGAAATTTTAAGGGGAATAAGATGGTAACATTCGTGAAGTTTGAATAAGTTTTGGGGTTCGGGATAGAGGTATAGCTCGATGGATGTCTATAGATTCATTTACTTATGAATAATGCATATGTGATAGATTATGAACGTGTTGAAGCTTTGCGAAAGGGAAGGGCAAAATCTTGAGGATTCATGACACGTGTTCAGCATTCGAGGTATGTTAAGACTTTTTAGACTTCGTTGAAGGACGTTTTCCTAATTAAAAATTAAAAATGGAATAGACAATTGGTAATGGTGAAAGATGGGGTCTCGTACCAATGGTGTGACGGGCATTGGTACGAGTACCTGTGATTTTAAAGGGAAAAGTTTATTACTATAACATGATAGATTGTAATTCGAGAATGCCAAAGCATATGGGCATTAGCTGCTGTACTTAGTGACTTGATTTCTTTTGTATGGTTGTGTTTCCTTATTGAACCAGTATAATTGTGATAATTGAGGTGATTATATGTCATAACGACATTTGATTTATTGAGATGTTGCATCATCCCCTTTTATTGATATCATATTGTGCACATGCATTGACATGAGATTGAGTATGATTAAAGGTCTAACACGTGGAGATCGTCCGTGTTGAGATCGAGTTATAATTATAATTTGGGCACGTGGGATCGTATGTGCGAGTGAGTGGTTATGATTATAAGTTGGGCACGTGGAGAACGTCCGTGCTGGGGATTGTTTGATTTTATGATAGTGCGTTGAGATCGTCCGCACAGACACGTGGAGATCATCCGTGTCGGTATATGGACCTCGCGAGTCCCCCATGGGTCATGAATTCTCGATGTATTTTCGAGGAGTATCATGTATATACAGTTGAGAGAGTACTTGGCATTTGAAGCATATCATTAATGGTGTCATATTGCATTGCATCTCATTACATCCCTCATTCTAGTTGATAATGTGTGTTATTGGTGGTTAAACATTTCGTGACATTTAATTATATGTATTGATGAAAACTTGGTTGATAAGTTTAATGTGGACTTGTAAAAAAAATTGAAGGATTATTTTCTTATATACTCCTGTCACTACTTCTTTGTTGTTGGTCTATGAGATATACTGGGTACACGTGGTTTCGTACTCATACTACACTTGCTGCACTCTTTTGTGGTGCAGATTGTATTTCGAATTTGAGCATATTTCTTGGAGCTTGAGTCTGAGTTGGTCTATCTTGGAGTTGTGGTGAGCTGCTTGAACGTTCTGCGGCCCATACCTTCATATATCTCTAGTTATTAGGTTGTTTTGGTATTCTAATAGGATATATCTTATGTTTAGACTTGTTATATAATTAGAGACTTGTATTGACTTTTAGAAGCTCTTGTACTTATGACACTAAATCTTGGGATGGTAATTTAGGTTTCCGCATTTCATATTTGTAAATGACTTAGTGATTGAATATGATGTTTTCGCTTATCTTTCTACTTTAAATATTGAATTGAATTGGTAAAGTATTGGATTGGCTTACCTATCGGTTGGGAACATAGGTGCCATCACGACTTGTGATTTTGGGTCGTGACAACTTCAAATCATGATAATAATGTTGATCACCCCAAAATTTACAAATTATCTTTCTTTGATCAATTTGCCCTCCGAATGCATGTCCCTTACGTTCTTTTCTATCCACTCAAATTTGTTGGGAATAAACCCGCAATAGAAATAATATTTGTGGTAATAAAAATAATAAAAGCAGAACACAACAATACAGTTAATCAACAAGAATAAAAAGAGCAATAATGACACCAATATTTTAGACTTGTCCATCTCAAATTGTCTGTCTTGATTTTTAAAATGAGTTATCTCAAATTATTTGTTATTTTAGAAGTTCAAGATAACATTAATTATTTATTTTTTCATTTATTCTTAGTAGTTATAATTATTCTTGAAGACAATAAAGTACAAATGCCTCAATAAAATAAATATTTATTAAAAACATACTCTCTTTGTCCCATATTAGTTGATCACTTTTCATTTTGTAGGGTACTTAAGAAATCATAAATAAGAAGATAATTTTACTAATTTTCCCCTTAAAAAACTTATCGAGAATTTTACAAACAAATGTGAACACTTTAAAAAAGATTTCATTGCAAGGGTAATATAGAAAAAATTTAATTAATGTTTTCTTGATTTAGTAAGGTGATCAATTAATATGTAATAATTTTTTAGTATAATGATCAATTAATAGAAGATATAAGAAAGTATTATATTTTCAGACATATATAAGGGTAATATAGTAAAAAAAAATCTTCTTAATTAATGTTTTAAGAAAATATGATTAACTGATTAAGACGAAGGGGTACATAATTGTTTATTAAATGAGGTCACCGCAAGAAGTTAATTAAGGAAATCATGCAATGTGCATTAAGGTCGAAATGCACAAATACCTCCTTTTGAAATCATTAATTAACTTATGTCGTATTTAACTCTTTTTTTTTTTAAATCGCCAATAAAAAGTACATACTATACCTTCTATTCTCCACATACTTCAACTTTTGCGAAGGAATTTTTGAATAGGGAAGCTCATTGTATAGGCAAATAGTTGAGGAATCATCCAAAGAGAAATGTACTTGTCCATTGTGATGATCTGTCACATCATCATGTCATATAAGCGTCACGCAAATGTCATATGGCATAAAGTTGCTCATGTGGATGGCTTACATAGGAGAAAGACTTTTTCTTGTGGATAATTCTAGAGAAATATAGAGATTTCTCATGGAAGATTATAGAATTGCATAGAAGGTCCTAGAATATTCTAGTTATGTAGAGAGGTCAAGAAAATAGACCTAAATATAAATACTTAGGAACTTACATAGTAATTAATATTTGCATATGAATACGTAAGTTACAGGGGCGGATCCACGTTGGTTCCAGGGGATTCAACAAAAAATTACACTGTATATATAAGGTAATTTTCTGTATTTACGTGAATATATATATTTTGAACCCCCTCAATGACAAGGAGAAAGATATAGCCCAGCGGTAGGTTCTCTGAAAATTAAGCCTCATGTTGAGGGTTCGAATCCCTGCATATTAGCGTTTTATTTTTATTTTTTTCAATTTCAGTTTTTTTTTAAGGTTTCAGTTCCGTTTTCACGTTTTTTTTAGTTTTTTATTTTATAAAACATGCTAAAAGTGTGGTTTTAAACCCAAAAAAATTCAAGGGTCCGCCACTAAAACTAAATACTACTACTTTCTTGAAATTTTTGTTTTGTTGGCTTATATATACACATTTATACTTTTATTTTTCAAACCCTCTGAACGAAAATCTTGGGTCTGCCACTGATAAGTTAGTCGTATAAATAGAGGAGCATTCATATGAAAACTCAATTAAAATCTCTACAGAATTCTTCCTAACAATTCTCTTGTGATTTTTTTCATTCTCTTAGCGATTCTTAGAGTTTTAAGCTGACTTGATATAGTAAAAACGTGAACAATTTGTCAAGTACATCTTGTGTGCTTAGTTGGAGTCTAAATCTATGAGTCCATTATGCTATCTCAATAGGTTGGCCAATGAGTTGTAGAATTTGAGTGGCAAATGAGTAGAGAAACATTACGGGCTAATTATGCTATTCTGTTGAGTATTATACTTTGAAAAAATCTCACTTTTAATTTTTTTTAAAAATAATTATACTCAACGTGAAGAAATTATTTATATAATGTGTATGGATAACATTAAATAATAGTTAGTTTACATTATTGTTGATTAATTCGATCAGAAAATCTTTATAAAATTATGTGTATTTAAAAATTTATTATAACATGCAATCACAAACATTTATTTATAAAAGAAATATGAAGATATGTAATTTATTAATGCGGCGACTTAGAATATTCTGATACTTTTTCTATGAGATATGATTTGCTCATTTGATAAGTTCGTACAAGAATTGGAAATTTTTTTATCGTTTTCATAAATTAAAGAGTTTTAATGTTTATTAAAAAATACAACTTAAAATATTCAAATCATTTATCCAAACAAAATTTCAACTTCTTTTCAACCTAATTTAATTCATGTCCAAACAAGCCCTTAATCATTTGCTACCTCTCCATTCTTTTACCCTTTCTTCAGCAACGGAAGCCTGCAGTAAGTGGGAAAATGAAGTACATTGATAACATTTTCATGTACAGTAGGAAGTAAGGTTTGTTTGGTACCTATTAAGTTATATTTTTCAAAGTAAAAAGGCAAAGAATGTTCTTAAATTATGTGAAATTGAATAATAATGTCCTTTGTTAATACTTTGATTCAAAAATGCTTTTGTCGTTAATATTTTAATCCAAAATGTTCTTATTGTTACATTTGGGTCAAAAATGCATTTTTTCTGATAAACATATTGTTCCTTTTCTGTATAAACACATTTTCTTTTCTAATATGATCATAGTAACATATCATTAATTTTCATTTTCATAATAATTTATAAACTATATTCATTTAAACACTTATTTTTTTTACAAAAATCTCGGATAGACACCTTGCTCTTTAAATTAAGCATTTTTTGAAAGTAAAAAAAAACTCTTGATCTTTCAAAAATATGATCAAACAGGCTCACATAATAATGGAAATGATTAAACAATATTTATCTTTTAAAAACACTATTATACATGATGGATTTGCAAGACATTACCTCTTTATTCCAGTTAGTTTTGGAAATCATGAGAATAAGAATACTGGTTTGAAGTGTTGTTCCTAACAACATTCCGGTCCACATGCCCTGCCATTTATAGTATATAAATATAAATACAACCAAAAGAAAAGATAAGAACCACATATAATAATGTTCCCAACATTGTTTTGACTTTGTACTTCCTCTGTTTTAACTTGTGTGAAATATTTTTGTTTTTTAGTTCGTTTCAAAAAAAAAGAAGGAACTCTCTTCGATCCAAAATAAATGAATTTCAGACACTTTATCTATGTTCCAAAAATGAATGAATTTTAAAAAAATTAAAAATGTATTAATTATTTCTTTCCAAAATTATCTTTTATTCAATGAGTTTTTCAACTACATATCTAGTTTTTAAAAAAGTTTGGGAAGAAACAAAAGAATAATATAGACAAATTATCCTTTAACTAATATCATAAATTACTTTTCTTATGAGGTGTATCACACTCTAAAAATGTAACGATCTGATCCATTGTTACTAAAGGGCACCTAATGCGGAGTCTCAAAGTTTTGGAAATACGGTGTAAGAATTTTTAAAATTTGAGCACACAATGATTTTTGGGTCAGGCTGACGTCAGCCCGCCGTAGCGTGAGGCTTCTCGCTATGGTGGTGCCGCTATAGCGGGCTGCCAAAAATTTTACAACCTAATTAATGTGTAGTCTTGTACTTTCCTCTCACTTTTGAAAGGGGAAAATAGGTGAGGACTACTCCAAAAAACCCTCCAAATGCACATGGGAAAGGGAGCAATGGGGGGGGGGGGTATTATTGCGCAAGTAAGGTAAGGAATTCCGGTTCTTGTTCATCATGGTTTGCTCTCACGGAGTCAGAAGTTCACCAGTTGATGCTTGACACTCAAGTAGGCTAGATTTCCTTCAACTGAGTAGTTAAATCCGTTTTACTGCATTATATCTTGTAAATATTTAGAGATTGCATGCATAGACCTTTGAACATAGAGTCTGAATGGTTATAGGTTATTGTTATTACCGTTAAAGCAGGAGATGAGATAATGGCTAGGGGTGACTCTCTAGTCTTGTTTAGCTTTGAGTTTCCTTGTTAGGATGATTTGTGTTGTCCAATAGATATAGGTATTTATGTTTACTGGGTATGTATAATGGGGAGAATATATGAATGCATATATAATGATAATAAGTTGATAATCTCATATAATGAATCAGTTATGTTACTTGTGGAAGTGTTATTGTTCATGATGTTTGTGATTGTGCATGATTGTATGTGTGATAACGATTCTCCTACCTAGGTGTTAGAGTAGGTACTTGCACGGTCCAGTGAATCGGATCGTGAATATGTCTCTGTCTACTTAATTTTAAAATTCCCTTTTACCCTTAATGCCTCCATCCACTTAACTTAAAAGTTCCCTCCCTCCGTCAAGGATATACATGGAGCGGTATCTTTCTATAATTAGAAATAACTTGATTTTAATATTCCCCTTACCCTTAATGAAATACTCTCTCTGTCTAATATACCAAAAATATATATATTCACTTTTACTTGTCCAATTTGAAAAATCAAGAAATAATTTATCATTTTGTTCCTAATTTACCTTTTTTATTAATTATAGTCATTTCTTAATGTTTGAATTTATTATATTCAAAAGGTAATGTAATAAAATTATGATTCTATTTATTTCTCCTTATGTCAAGTCAATACTGAATGAGTAGAAGAACAGAGATTAGTTTGTACTTTAGATTTTCGAAAAATAAATATCCATTTTTATTAGTCCAATATAAGTTGTGTTTTTATTGTAGAGAAGGAGAGTGATTACAATACCTTAACACCCATGTCGAGGGAAAAGTTAAAAATAAGACCCAAAGGAATCCCAAATACATAGTAGCATACTATGTTAATGTAAGCTACATATGTTTGCCAACCTGCTCCAATAGCCACACCTGTAATTGTTGCTCCATTATTAATATTAATATACAAGCGATGTACATTTATTGGCTATTATTTTGGCGGACGTTATTTATATCAATTCCTCTAAATTTAATTTTAAATTGCGACTCCAAAGCAGATATTTATATAATTTAATTACATAATTTATCCTTTAAATAAACTGATCTAATAAAATATGATACGTATTTTGATATGGAGAAAATATACCTGAAAGAGTAGGTTGAAGACCGTTAAGCATAATTGTAGTTCCTAATAGAGGAGTAAGTTCATACACGGCTTGCTGAACTTCAAAACTTTTCGTAAACAAAGGTGGATATCGAGTTCGAGCAACAAAAAGTGCTATCGTAAGTATTGTCCCAATTAAAAGTGAAGTAATTGATACCACTAGGACTGAAAATTTTGCTGTTCGGGGGTGCCCTGCTCCTAGTTCATTTGACACCCTTACACTGCACCCAAAAAGAACAAATTCATTTTTTAGGTTTATTACTTTACTCTATTCATAATCGAGTTGATATCTCTCAGATGATTACCTGAGAAAAGTGATTATACGTGACAATAAAGTTTCAAAACTAAAAAAGTGACACAAGTCTTAGTTATTGAGTAGATGTGATAATTTTAAGATTAGTGTTAATGACGCTAAATTTACAACCATTAAATTTTATTATTTACATAAAGATCTTATTTTTCCCACTCCTCCCCTCCCCCTCCCCTTCTTTTTTTACCACCATCTCCGTCCCCACCCCTTCTGTCGTCACCATCATTTCCTTCATTTCTTTGGCCACCAACTCCACCTCCTCTTCCTTCATTTTAGTAACAACGGCATATACATAGGAACATAGGGCGTAATTTTTAAATAGTGATATTTCTAAGCTTAAAATTTATACATTCAAAAAATACTATTTAAATTACAATTCTTCACGTATTAACTTGATAAAAAAATATACTTTCATGATATTGATGAAATTTTACGTTATTTGAATATTAAAAAATGAAAAGTGTCACACAAACAAACCTTATTGCTGCATTAAAGCCAATGCACAACATGAACGTCCACCCAACAATGCTGGTGCTGCAAAACATCGAAACAAAAAAATAAACATAGTAAAAGAGTTATTGTTTCCTTTAATGGACTTGAGATATAAGTAATTTTTAGTGTTTGATGCCTGAAAATGACATATATTTTATATATGTATATTTTCACACCAAACACATCTTAATCTTAACAAGTATAAAATAAAGTGAAAATACATATCACCTAATTAAGATTGAACAATAAATATTTATCTACAATTTGATAAAAAAAACTGTTCTTTTATGCTCACTCATAAATTTAAAAAGAGAAAAACACTTCTAGAAGTATTATCTCCTATTTTATTTTTACTGATATCTTATGTTATTTTTTTGGCTTTGTGAGAAGGTTATATATTGTATTTTTTCCGTTCTCAATTTTTTTAATGAATCCTAACTATTATCATTTTCGATTATGGAGATGTGTGTATACAAGAAATAGTATATTGATAAAGAAAGTTTTTTCCGAAGTCAAAAGAGATATTAAGTTGAAAAATAAGATCTAATTCTATGAGTTATACATACTGCTTTCTTGACAGAGGTGTATCCAGGATTTTGAAATGATGGGTGCACTGTTATAAAAAGATTGATCTATGATATAAATTTGATCGGTTCGACATTTAGGTTTTTACCACTAAAAAATCGTTAAAATTTTAAAATTATAGGTCTAAAATTAATTCTTATATATATATATATATATATATTAGAAGTGTTATCTAATTTAGTAAAGAAAAATAAAAATAAAGATAAATAATAAAATTACTAAATTTACTAACCTCGCGGAGAGAGGTGCACCTAGTCATAATCGCATTATGTGATACTTCAAGTGTGAGTTCACACATCTATGTTTTAATATTTTTAAAAAAATATAATACTACTATATATGATCTCGGAGGGGACCATGGGTTCACATGAACCCGGTGACCCCCCCTTAGATACGCCTCTGTTTCTTGATTAATAGAATTTTTTCGTTTGCCAAAAAAAATGAAGGAAAGAGTACTTGTATTAAGGTAAATTGTCTATAACACATTTTTGAGGGTGCAATCCTTTTATGAACCATGCTAACGCGGGAAACTTTGTATATTAAACTGTGCTTTTTAACTTTTTCTTTTTACAAAAAACAAATTTCTTAGTGTATCTACCATATCCATTAATATTTAGGCATTGTGGTATCTAAACTTATGTTTAAACACGCGATATAAAGTCATAAATTCAAATCAGCGTAAACTCACCATATGGAGACTGCGTCAACAACAATTTTTGGGTCCTTTACGTATCCAGCAGTGATAATCAAAGCCATGAAGTACCAGTACTCTAAGCTACACAATTTACAATTGTTTAAAGAATTACTATTAGTTACTAAATAATGGCAAGTAATTGCATGTCAACTTTTAGTAAGGACGATAGGTAAATAAGAAAAGAGAAAGTATTTCATTAAGGGTAAATTAGTCGTTTTAAAGTTAAATAGTTATTAAATATAGAAATATGTCAATTTTTAAAAAACTGACTAAAAAAAAGGTGTGTCACATAAACTAAAACAGTCCATAAGATGTATATCTTAATTAAAATGCTGATTAAATATCATATAATTTGACTGAGAAAGTGCAAAACGTGACAAGTATTTCAGGACTCCACATCATAAAAATTGAGAGAGAGACTCACCAGATCATGACACCAGATGCAAGAGACAACCTAACAAATCCCCAAAGATTTTCAAATGCCTTGTAAGAAAATCCAGACCAAGCTTCACCACATGTCCCACATATAATGTAAACAAATTGGGCAAGTACCATGAACCACCATGAGCCATTTAGCACTACAGCTCCAGCCACTATCCCCAAATCCATTTTCATCATAAACAGCCAGCTCAATAGGGTATGGCCAGCTAGCGCGACCGCGGCTATAATGGTCATAACCATCATCTTGCTTTGGGCTTGAAGGAATTTTTGAATAGGAAAGTTCATTGCATAGGCAAATAATTGAGGAATCATCCAAAGAGAAAATTTACCAGCCCATTTTGCTATGTCCATAGGCTGGCCAATGAGTAGTAGAATTTGAGTTGCAAATAAGTAGAGAAACATTAAGGCTAATGCTGCTGTGTTGAGTATAATCAAAGATCTTTGCAAATAGACACCTAGCATGTCTACTTGTTTAGCTCCATATGCTTGTCCACAAAGTGTTTCTAATGCACTTCCCATACCTAACTGTTAGGAAATGATCAAATATTTTTCGTAAGATTTTCAACACTAACTGACTAAAAAGAAAAATAGGTCAAACAAATTGAACTGGAGAAAGTACAAATTTTAAGCAAAGGGGTGTCACTTGACACCCTTCGAACAAGGGTAGCTCTGCCTCTGCTCGATGCCTAAATATAGTTCTTTTGCTAATATTAAGAAAAGAAATTAAAACACATAAATTAAGACGGAGGAAGTAATAGATTACCAAAGCACCATAACAGAGTCCAGCAATAACAGAGTTTTCTACAGATACAGCAGCAAGTTGTAAGACTCCAAGATGGCCAGCAAAGAGTTGAGTGATTTGAGCAATTGAGTATTGACATATAGAAGTTGAAATTGCTGGAGAAGCAAGACACCATAACTTCTTGGATTCAATACAGAATTCATGGAAGAAAGTTTTAACTCCATCAATTCTTTGCATATCATGCTCAGAATCAAAAGAAGGCAAATGGTGATAATCTTCCTCCATTTCTCTGGAAGGATGTGCTTAATTAGTTGGTGAGTTAGTTTTGTAAGAAGAAAAAAAATCTTCTTAACAATAGGAGTGTCAAAACTTCGGGTGTGCACAATACACTTACACTCTGTTTGGATCATTATTACCTATTGTTTCATAATATATTGTATTGTACTGTACTGTATGATAGATACAATGTTTGGCTAAACTGTATTGTTTGTTGTTGTTTAATACTCCCTCCGTTCCATTTTATGTGGCAACATTTGACCGGGCACGGAGTTTAAGAAATAAATGAAGACTTTGAAATAAATAAATGAAGACTTTGAAAAAGTAGACTCAATTTCTCTCTCCTCATAAATGTATTGGAGTATTATTTTAAGATTAAGTGGGACCAACAAGGATAAAAAAGGAATTGTACATTTAAATACTTTTCATATAAGGAAATGTGACATTCTTTTTGGGACTGACCAAAAAGGAAATGTTGCCACATAAAATGGGACAGAGGGAGTAACATTTTAATTGTTTGGTTTGATTGTATCGTACTGTATTATAATTTATACATTTACTAAAATATCCTTAATTATTCTAGGGTAGGAGGTTTGACTAGAATTAAATAATATAAGGTAAATGGCAAAATAGTATTTTGAAATATTATGTAAAGATAAAATTGGAAAAAGAAATTAAGTAACAATGGGAACACACCAAATCGGTTGTTCCATAAAATAGGGGTTTTCATTGTTACGTAACAACGAAATTTAACAATACAATACAATACATTTTAAGTAACAATCAAAACAAACATTGTAGGTATAGTAACGATACAATACAATACAATGGGTAAGAATGATCCAAACAGAGTGTTAGGGGTCATTTGGTAGAGTGTATTAACAAAAATAATGTTTGCATTAGCTTTGTGTATTAGTAGTACCTTGTTTGGTATCTTTTTTTTATGTTATGTATAATTAATGCAAACATTAGTTATACACTCTATTGTGTATTGGAGAGTGTATTACTAATACCATGGATTTCTAGGTATTAGGAATGCAAAGAGATTTAATGCATGCATTAGTATTTTAAAGACAAAAATACCCCTCAAAAGCACTTTTACATCTTTTTCACCATATGTGTGAAGGATATTTTTGTAAATAATTATATTTGTACAATAAATGTTATTTTTAATACACTAAACCAAACGATGCATAAGAAATAATCTATGTAGAACTAATGCAATCATAACTAATATAAGCATTACTAATGCAAGTATTGCTAATACACTCTATTTAGAATTATTTTTATACACTCTACCAAACGACTTATATAAAGTTAAAGTAGACACACTCATTAGCAAGGGGTGTATCTACCCTATAGGCAGGGTGTCCAATTGGACACTCTTATAAGTAAAATGATACACGAAGTGATTAAATAAAATATTTTGGACACCTTGATAGATTAAGGTGTTGTAGCCCAATGGTTTTAGATGCCGAATCGAACTGTCAACAATATTTTTCCGTTTATTTTTTTGGATACCCTTTTAGCTTTTTTAGGAAATCCTTCGTGAAATTCCTGACTTTGTCACTGCTCATTAGGAGTGTGCAAAAATCAGTTTAACCGAAACAAGTAGACAGACTCCTTAGATAGTTATTTAATGTTTGGGAATTTAACTGATGATATCACTTCTTGTTTCTTTTAAACCACAATATCACTCAACTATTTTTATTTTTCTCAAAATATACTCTCTCCTAATAAAATGTCATATCACATATATTTATTTTTTTATCTTGTTTCTTTTAAATCACAATATCACTCAACTATTTTTATTTTTCTCAAAATACACTCTTTCCTAATGAAATGTCATATCACATTTTTTTATTTTTTTATTACAAGTTTAACTAAATTCGTATTTGGTGACCACTTGATATTGATATTTTTGTAAGGTACAAAACACCGCAACTTCAATGAATAATTTATCTATTTTCCTCGATCACTTCACTTTTTTGGTAACTATTTGGTTTTTTGTTAGACCTATTAGAATTGGGCTATTATTGTGTAAATATGGATGGATTTGTTATGATCCAAAAATGGACGTGATGATATTCATCTAATTCAAACAAGACAAGTCAGTCTCAACCCAACAAAACTAAACACAAAGGCAAAAAGATAAACTCATAATAACATAAGAGAGAAAAACTTAAATATTCCAAAATCCGGTTGCCATATGTACAAGTCTCTATTTGTATAGGTTACGACTTCGTGATACTCCCTCTCCCCTTCCTGTCTGAGGCTTCCAGTGGAGATTTGTGAGGTAACTGTTTGTCATTTCAGCGGACCTCTTCCTGTGAGGTAATTATTTTTTTATCTTTTCTTAATATTGTAGACCTATATAAAGGTACTATATTCCCTTGAAAAGAAATCTCAAATATTCCGCAAATTCATAAAATATTCATAAAAAAAATCTAATCAAAATCATCCTAATTTTAAAAATACGTCACTAATATCACTCGAATTATGTAATTGTAATTTATTTCTTGTCACTCTATAATTTGTCACAAACAAATATCTAGAAAGTGAATGATTCACAACCACGTGAAAAAGTAGTGGTGAGGGGCTAATAAGAGATTCTTTTGTTCGGTCACTTTCCATCAACAAGATTTTTTCAGACTTTCAGTCACTTAATGTAGCTTGAATCCTTTGTGAAAAATACATTCTATTCTCCGCCTAATTCGAGCCGCGTTAGTGGCATATTTCTCGAATTAAGATAATTTAGATTTTATCTTTTTATAAATATTTCATGAATTTACAGAATATTTAAGATTTAATTTGAATTTGATCTCTTTATAAATATTTCATGAATTTACAGAGTATTTGAGATGTCACTTAAAGAAATATAATATCCTCTATATACGTATGAATTATGGTTTAGGGTTGAGTAGTCTTTAAGAATCCTAATTGGAATTGAACACATCTGGTTCCAACTCAAACTGAACACGTTTTGTAGAGTCTTACAAATTTTCAATGTGTACAACTATTTCTATTAATTTGTATTTAATATTAATTTATAAAAAATAATTTGTAGAATAAATAATTGATGTAAAAATTAAAAAATATATATTTTTTCTTACTACGTTAAAAATGAATAATTTACCAACACGTGAAAAAAAAGAGTGTTTTATTGAGGGGCTAATAAAAGGTTTTTGTTTTGTTCAATCACTTCCCCATTTGAATTGTGCTTTTTCTATTTCTAGCTCTCATTAGTATACTGATGGAATATCTTTTTATTCCCACTCATTATATTTTAAAATTAATTTTCTTGAACTTCAACAACTTTACACCAACTATCATCAATTATATCATAAAAAATGATATGTGTCAATTGTTAAAAAATGTATTATTGATCACATGTTCTGATGGTCAACAGTTTTTTTTAAAAATATTTGGGACCATAGAGTAATTGGTTTTTTAGCCTACTACACATTCTATTCTCCACATATTATTCTACTATATTATAAAAGAGAGTTTAGACTCAAATATAATATATAATATATAATATTCAAGATTGGGACTTTTTCCAATCTTGAATATTATATATTATACCTGTGGGACTTTCTATTCTATTATATTTCTATTCTATTATATTTTCTATTTCTATTTTTTCTATTTTCTACTATATTATAACTTCAATATTATATATTATATTTATTATATAGTAGAACTTGGGCATAAACTCCCTTTTAAAATAATATAGAATAT